AATGGATATAGTAAATGAAATATTGTCTATTGTCTGTAGAACGAAACTAAACTAAAAATGGCCATGGCATGACCTAACGGTATTTCGTAATTCAATTAAATTTAATAAATTGTCTCGAAGGCAGATCTCATTTCCATAGACCATTACCGAAGGAGAAATCAACAAACAGCAACTTGGATCAACGAACCGAAGGAAAAAAATATAATAATAATAATAATAAAACGTTCGTGTAATTAAATTTGCTTACCGTGTCTTTTGTCCCGGAATCGCAGCACTTAAGCACTCGATTAAACACCGATCGAAGTGCCCTGAAAAGTAGTCGGGGAGAAGAGAGAAAAAAAAAATAGAGGGAGTCGAGGGAAATATTGGGTCACGTTCGTCCATCGCTAATGGAAACCCAAGTTTCCGCGATAATTGCATTAAGGGATGAAAATGTGGGGTGAAAGGAGAATTGGTCGGAGATGAAAATACACACTGATATATGATAAACTATGTAGTTTATTTGACTTTCATATACACTCACAAAATGAGAGGCGGCACAAGCCGTAGGATACAAACATTTACCTATTAATTATTATTATTAATATTCATTATTGAATTTTTTTTCTCAGTAAATATATATTCATATATATATATATATAACGGAACATTTTGTTTATTGTTGAAACAATTCGTTTTTCAGAGCATAATGAAATCACGTCCATAAGAAAAAAAAACATATAATAATAATAGTAATATTCTCTTCCGATGCACGCACATATATATACACACACTATACATATTTGCGTACACGGATTCATTTAACATAATCGTATTATTTATACAATAGATGTGTGAGTTACTGGAGAAAGGAAACAAAAAAAAATAAAGTAATAAATCTGCATGTAAAAACGAAACAATCCATTTTGGTATATAAAAGAAAAACCTAAAGTTAGTAGCTTAAACGAAACGGCGGGAAATTCGAAAAAAAAAAATCCAACCGTTTCCTTCCCCCCAGTTTAAAAAAAAACAAAATAAATTTGCAAAATTAAAGACATTTGTTTCAAGAAAAAAATAGAAATTGACCAACAATATAAACAAAGATGCAAAACGATATTGGTTTGTGTTTGTGTATATATATATAATCCCTTAGGTTTCTTCTCTCTCTCTCTCTCATTGTATATAATAACTTGCCTTCTTTTCATAGTTATAATGCATTTCGTTCTCTAACAAACAGCGCTCTTGATTATGCAACAAAACAAGAGAATACAAATCGAAAATAATACAACTCTGTCGTACAACGCGCAATCATCGTCTTATATAAATTATATATATAGTAAACTAAATATGTATATTTACATCACAAGGGTGGATCTAAAGAAACAAAATATTATTTTTATATATATATATATATAGATTTATATAACTTGTCGTTGGGGGCGGGGGCGGGGTTTGCGGTTGTTGTTTTTTTGTCTGCGTAAAGAATAATAAAGAAAACAAAAGAATACAGAGAAAAAAAATAATAATAATTCATATAGTAATGACGATGATGAAAATATAAAATAAATAATATACATTCTATTCAGATTCAAGAAAAAAAATAAAAATTAATAAACAAAACTTATCACTAGATCACTGTTTCGATTTCTTACGCATGGCGTAAAAATGATTAAATAGCAAATAAAGAGCTAATACAAATTATATATAAATGCGCTAAACTTAAAACAAATAATTTATACATTTCTCAACACTTAGGAAACTAGACTCAAGAAAATAATAATAATAAAGAAATAATCATCATAGTTGTAGTAGTAGTAATAATAATAATAAAATAATAATTAATAGTAGTAAAGTTTTTGTTTAATGTTAGAGAAGACGTGTTTTGCACAATGCACGTCGTTTTTGCCCAATAATAAATATTTACAAAGATGCAACCGAAAGGTTTCTTTATTTAGTTTTTCCATATAATTCTCCTTATATTTTATTCATAATCGTAGACGGAAACAATAATAATAATAAAATAAAATAATAATAAACTAATATATACTAAATATGTGTGTGATTTCTTTCGAGATATGTTCCTTATTATACTGGCTTTGTACAATGGTCGGTAGGCTATACAACAAAATCATAAATCATAAAAAATATATAATATTTTCTTATCTACAACAAAGAAAAATAATAATAATAATTAAAAAATAATAATAATAAACACAGTGTTGCCAATGCGGAGAGAAAAAATAAAATAATAATTAATTAATTAATTAAAAAAGAACGTAAGATAACTGCACGCAGGATTGTTTTTTTTTTGTGTTCTCGTCTTCGTAGTTATTTTTTCGATTGAGAATTTAAAAAAAAAAACAAACAAATCAAAGGTCCGAAATGTTGATTAAGTAAAAAAAATAATAATAAGAAATAATAATATTTAACAATATTTACAAGTAGAAATAATAATAATGATTATTATATAAAAAAAAGAGATCCAGTAAAACAAATTCACGAAATTTGAAAAATCAAAAAAAAAAATAATAATAATGTGTTTGTCTTGAAGAAAATAATAATAAATAAATAATATTGGGAACGGCCATAAAGCAGAAAGCTTTAGAGAATAATGAGGAAGATTCTGCACAAATCGTATTGAAAATATTAATAAGTTTTTGTTGAGAATAATTTGATGGGATGCATCTTTGTAAATGGTGGAATTGAAGCGTGATGAGAGACCAAGAGATTTTCCAAAGGGAAAACAAATATTACAAAAAACATTTTTTTGTGTGTAAACGAAATTTTTTTAGGACGAACGTTCGCTTTGCTTAGGTATATATAGAAAGTAAAACCGCGTTATATCATCATTCGTGTTTCATTTTTCATTAAAAAAAAATTTTTTTTTACTCGTATAGTATTTTTCAACCGTTTCTTTTTTTTGCTTATTTTTCTCGTATTTTTAATAAATTGCGATATGAAATATATTAGGAACCACGTTACGGACTCGAAGTCCAGCAGTACTAGAAAGTAAACAAACAAACAAATAAAATGATAATAATTAAGAAAGGAGAAACAGAAAAGAAAAAAACAAACAAATACTCTCAATAAATACACACTGACTGCCCTATATATAATAATGTATAATAATAATATAATATGAATAGTAATAATAATCGTGTAATACGTCAGAGGTGGCGTCGCCACGTGTCACATTCACTTAGCATCGCTAGTCTGCGATCGCCCCGATCCGCAAAATTAAAAAAAGAAATTGGGATCGAGGATCGGCGATGGAAGGTTGATCTTCGGATCATGGACGACGGGACGGAGGACCGCTTCTCCGTAATTATATTATAATAATATAAATATATCCGTTATAATTATATCATTAGTATTTATCATTAAAATATTAATATTACATGTACAATAATAATATCATCGTTTAATATTTACGTCTTGAGGTCAGATCCTTATTCTTTCTTTCTTTTCTCTCTGATTATTTTTTTTTTCGAGCCTAGGCCGATATGTGTGTTTTTTCTTTTTATAGTTTATATTTGTGGTAAATGCAAGCATCCTCTCCATCATCATCATCATCACTGAGAGATAGAGATGAAGAGGTGCAGCCTCATCGTCTTCGTCCTTTCATCCGATCCAAGAGACCTTCCGTCACGGATCCCCGGGACCCGGGGGGATCGCACTATGTTCAACAATCACACTTAGTTCCAAATCAACTCACTAATATGCGAGGCAGGTCGTACCGAAGTATTTCCCAGATTTTGAGTTATTTTGGATACGTAAACCTAGTACTTTATTTTTAATTTATTTTTATTTCATATTTTTTTTTTGTTCGTTTAAATTTATTAGTTTTTTTTTTTTTGTTTGTAATATATTTAAATTTTATTTTTTTTTCTTGTTTTAAATATATTTTCTACCACTAATATATACGTACAATGCCGGCGAAAACCGACGTTCTTTTAAAACATAACTATATTATTACTTAAACACCGTATCGATTATTAGTAATTAGTAGGAACCAATTTTCATATTTATTCATCTTCTTCAATAATTATACTTCTTCTCTTTTAGTATCGTTTGTTTTATTTCTTTCTTCTTTTTTTTTTCTTCATTTGAATTTTTCATTTTCTTCGCTGGCTTTTCGAAAGTGGATGACGGGTGAAGCGGGCCGTGTACTCTTTTATTATTATTTTTTTATTTTTTTAATAAACCACCTGATATACATATACATTTATTTATATACATATACATATATATAAATTATATATACATATACATATGATAAATACAGCATTTGCCTTATATCATTGTTATTTTTTTTTTGTTTAATAATGAATTTTCGTTTTTTACTTTTAAATTTAGTATTGTTTATCATTATTAATAATAGTAATAAAAGTTTCTTCTTCTTCATGTTTAATAATTAATAATTAATTTCTCTTCTTTCTTTCTTTTTTTTTCATCCGAAAATGTTTCTCATACTTTCATACTTTTTCATCTTTACGTTTATTTTTACTTTTTGTAATATAATTAAATATAATGAATAAAAAAAGCGCCCGCATCGTCGCATCGCGTCGTGTCTGCATCTGAGGAACTCTGTGGGGATGCGGGCGTCATAGGAACTTGTTTTACTGGGTCCACGGGTTTCGGGACCCTCTGGAGACTGCATGCAGTATCTACATCTCGATTTAGGAACATTGTAGTCGCAGTTTTGTAGAAATGAGGAACTCTGGCGCTACCCTACTTTTACACTTTATGTTATCTCTTCTTATTTTTTCTTCTCCTACTACTTCTTCTTCATCATCATCATATCAACTTCTTCTTCTTCATCATCATCTTCCTTACTCACTCTCTCTCTCTTTTTTTTTTAAATATATAGATATATTTTTTATGTATTTATATATTTATATTATGTATTTACACATGAATATATACTCGCCGATTCGCATTTTCTTCGATCAGTTAAATGTGTCCGGGTATTTCTTCTTCCGAATGGGAAAGCTCCCCTATTCAAACTTCATCTCTCTAAACTTTCTCTCTCTCTTATCTTATCTATGTGTCATAGTAACTATACGTTGCGATAGGAATCATCGGACCTACTCGACTATACACAATAACTACACTGACACACAACTACGATATAATATTATAATATATAATAACGTTTAAAAATAGATCAGCTGTAAATATAATTCACTATTCATTGCTTATTAATTTAGTATATAGTAATAATAAATTTATCAGTGTCACGTAGCGTGCGTACATGCATACGAGAATACCAGTGATGCGGCTGTTCGAACTGGCGAACTATTCGGACGTATTGATGTACGCATGCTGGGGCAAATTAAAATTGAAAACCTTTTCTTTGCAGTTGCAGTAGTAGTTTTGTAAAACTATCTAATCAATTTTCTTACAAGAAAGATCCAAAATCAAAACAAAAACAAAAGCTATTTATAAATGGGTTCGAGTTCCTTTCGCATGCTTCGGACCCGACCGGCGACGGTGTAGGAACTTGGCCGTCTTTGACGTTGGTCAATTCGGCCAGCAACAATCTGCGAAGATGTCGCGCGCGGCCGTTCGGGTCCGATCGCATATTGTCTTAGATCGGTGGGTTTTCTTTTCTTATCGAGTAGATTACGTTTCTCCGGTGACTGTTGTTCTCAATGTCCGGCGCTGGTTAAGGGTTGCTGGGGTACGTCTCCTTGAGGTGAGAGGAAGCGCCTCTTCGGGTCGGACGGCTGGCAGAAGGTGTTGTTCGAGTTGGAGTCGCGGGCCACCTCTGGCCCGGACTCTTGGGCGGCACGGGCCGCCAGCAGCGCGATCTGATTAACGACGTCCTCCATCTCGTGACTTAACGGCGACTCTGAGGGTGGCGGCAGCGACTTGGAGGCGGCCAGCTTCAGGACCTTCATATGCGAATCACTCTCACAGTGTTTCCTGAACTCTTGCAGCGACTTAAAGCGTTCCGCGTTACACAACTTGCACTCGTACCCGGTCTGGACGATCCTGAAGGCACCGCGGGCCTCCAGGTTGCCGCCGTAACAATGCCTCTGATGGGTCAGCAAAGCCGAATCCCCCACGAACCCGACGCGACACTTCTTGCACACGAAGCACACTTCAACGTCAACATCACGAGCCTGCAACTCCGAAGAACATCTCTGCTGCTGCTGCTGTTGTTGTTGTTCTGGCATGCGGATGGTGGTCACGCCAGAGTCCAAGTTTCCTTCCGCCACCTTCTCCAGCACGGAGGCGGGCAGCGGCAGGAAGCTCGGTCCGGCTCCTGTGTCTAGAAACAATCCTCCGGCTCCCCCTGCAACACACGAAGAGAAACAAGAAAATAAAACATCCATTCATTTTCGACGTTCCACAGAAATACGGGGCGAAGAGGATATATAAGTAAATAAAAGGACGCCATTAGAATCGAATCCGGGAGAGATAACGCAGACTTGTCGGTACATTAAATTGAACATTCTCTAGAGTCGGTCAGTTGTGCGGTGCGCGTGTCGACCCGACCCGGACCCGACGACCGTTCCGTCTGACCCGCTGCGGGGCCGGGTCGGACCCGACGTAACGTACTGTTGTATAAATTTGTATCACAGTTGTGTTTTTAGATTGGCGCTGATTAAATTGTAGTTAAAACGCGTCCCACTCAATCACGGCGACAACACATGGCAAAAGAAAACAAGAAAAAATAAACGAGAAACGAAGAAGAAAAGAAATCCGAGATGGATCAACGACCCTCGCTCTTAATTAATTGATTTCAACTGCAGTTTAAAATACCCAAAATTACACAATTTCAAAATCTACCTTAATAACTAATGACAAGTGTGTACGCAACTTTACTTTTAGAGAAAATATTGAAGCATGCTTAATTCACAAAACAAAAAGAATAGCATTGAGAGATTTAAGATTTTTTTGTGCAAAATATACAAGGATTAAAGAAACGGGGACAATGGAAGGAAATCCCCTTTATTTTCTTTAAATTCAAATTAATTGATTTGCGAACAATGGAAAAGGCGAAGCAAAGCAAAACGAGTCGTTAGGATGGAGAGGGTTTATATGTGTCTGTAAAATATAATAAAGAGAATCTCCCCCAACTGTTTATATCTTCGTTTCTACTTTTTTTTAATTATATCGCGGTTTTGATTAAAAAATCGCTTGGGCTGAAAGGAAGATGAAAGGAAGAGGGAAAAAAACGAGAGAAGTAAATTGCCTATTTAATTGAGGTGGCGCAGCGAGGCGGAACGCTGCGAGGGGTTTCTTAAAATTTACTTTTTCGCTTCGCGAGTTATAATAAGGGGTGGAAGAGAGAGATATAAGCAGGCAGAAGAAGGAGCAGCAGCAGAAACGCCACCCCGCCACCCCAGACGTGAGTGAGATATGGATTTTGCTTCCGACGCGCAGTTTTTCTGAATTATAAAATATCTCCACCCCGCACCAACCCGAGGGGCTGCATTTATTGAAAATTTAGATATTTCTTTTGTTGCCTCGACGATGCAGGAAAATATATCTATATATATATATAGAGAGAGAAAGAGATAGAAAGAAAGAAGGAGAGTTTTTCCACCCCTGTCAGCAGTGATATTGACAAATCCATTCCGAAGCCACCCCCGATTTCGCACAACAGAGGAGAAAAAAAATAAAAACCGAGAGAAATAAAATACGAAACGTCAATTAAAACGAGGGGAAGAAAAAAAATAGATGAAGAGAATAATGGAAACATGCAGCAAACTGGATTAGCTTGCGCAACGCGGATTGCGAAACCCCGGTTGCGGTGATGTCACATACACATCCATTGTCCTTAATTGGATCAGAGTAATTACGCGTCACACGAGACGACGCTAATTGCGTCCATTGAATTACGCGGCTCAAATCCGCTAATTTGCGGCTATTTTCGTCGAGCCGAAGAAAGAATAAAGTAACGCACAGACCAACGCTAGTAAATACCGCAACCGTTGAGGTTTGAAGTTTCAGGTTGGTCTGTGGGATTCTGCAAGAAGCAGAAGACGACGAAGAAAAAGAGCGAAGAGACCACGATGGAATATTAAATTTAAAATCAGTTTTATGATAAAACGTGGTGGAGCAACACGGCGCGTTTTAAAAATTTAATCGCCGATAAAAATCAATACTTTATTTATGTATTTTGACCGAAGCTCGTAATAAATTCCGTAATAAACTTACGAGAGGGCTCGGTAATTTTTACCTTCTTTTTATTTTTACTTTCTTCCAGCTCCGACCACAAAGTGTGCGAGTGTTTGCACCGGGGTTACCAATTCTGCGACAATGTAGGTGAAAGAGTGAGAGAAAGAGAGGACTCTTCCAATTGTATGCCTACGCAACGCGAGAAGAAGTGGCAAGAACGCCAATAACAATAAAGACAATACACGGGGGGGAAATGAGGCTCTTACAAAAGCGTTAAGGATGGTGGAATCTCCGAAATGACACTTACGTGCTAGGATAGATGAGATGGATGGATGGGCAGAAGGGAGAGAAGAGTCTCTAATTAATAGCCAAAAACAGGAAGACGGCCGCGGCCGCCGGACATGACGTCAGGGCTAATTGCAGTGTGAACCACTCTCTCGTTAAATGGGTGTAATTAGTAACTTAATAGGGATACCAGTAGTTAAAATAATTACGGTTTTACACGGGCAATTGTTTGTGAAGGCGTTATAATCCGTGGATGGATGATAAATAAGTGCGGGGGCCGCGAGCGACGCGGATCCGATTCATTAGCACGAAACAACCCTTTCGGGAAGGAAGCAACAAGTTGTTCAGACGAGGGTGGCGAGGATGCGGCGAGAGATGCTAATTTCAGCAATTAGCCCTTTCGTCGTAGTCGGCCGCCCCCGCCAACAGAATCCCTAATTAGAAAACCGCCCTCAACGACCGATTACAAGTGGCGAATTAAACATCCCCCAGGGACCGGGAAAACCCCGGATTACTTAACAGCTTTTCCTGAGAATTAACACAGCAATTACCATTAAACTCACGCTTTTTAAGTACTTGACAAGTATAACTTTTTTAAAATGACAAATCGCAATACTTCCTAAGTCGTCATGATAATTATTTTTTAATTATCTTAACGAAAATGTTCGAAGTTAACAAAGGAAATGAATTAACGTGCAAAAACAACAAATTAAAGACAAATCAAGTACTTCTTTTTCTAATTGTACAAACAACAAGTATGTATGAGTTACTTGCCAAGTATTTTCAATCAGCATGCAAAACCAACAAGCAGCAAGATCATGCACAAGAGGAGAGCTCGGCAATCGATAACGAAAAAAAGTAAATTTAAAGCCGCGGGTGAATTTTTTTTTCCCCCGACTTTTTTTTTTTTTGGTGTATGTGTGCGCGCTTTAAAGAGGGGTGGCCCACCCCCGTCACTAGCGTGACTCACAATTTTTTTTTTCATCATCGTCTCCCTTATTAGGGGGATGTCTGCACATAAAAAATGCAGAACGCACCCCACACACGTCCACCAGACTACGAGTAAAAAAAAAAACGCCACCCCACGGATCTTCCGAACGCAATTTAATCGAGGGGTAAGGGGGAAAATAAAAAAAAATAAATAAAATCATATGTATGCATGTAAGTTTGTGATAACGGAGTAATCCGAGCGGAGATCTAATTTATAATTACATTTCTTCTACAAAAAATAAATAATATTTATAAATAAAAGTATAAAATATATGTATATAAAGTGATATTTTTTATGTTTTGGGGGGAGGAGGAGACACGCACACGTGATGCTTAGTTTTCTTTTTCTATCTGACCCTGATTTCGCCCATTCACATAATATAATTATTTTTTTTTACACGTTTACAAAAAAAAAAGATTATTTTAAAGTACTGACCTTTGAAATAGAGGCCAGTATTGGTCCATAGTCGCATTGTGATGAATTGTATTCTGAAAATATTGAAAAAGAAAAAATAATAATCAATTTTTACATAAAGAAGAAAAAAAAATAGTAATAATAAACGTGGAGGAAATAAACATTTAACAATCATCATCATCATCATCGTCATCAAAATCGAAGAAGAAAATTGTAATTTTAATAATAACAACAATTCGTCTAGAAAAAGGAAACGGAGAATACACACTAAATTTATTTATTTTTCGATTACTTGTTACTATTAATCATTACGTAATTTTCTGCAATCGCTAATTATCAATAACAATAATAATGTCGACAAAAAAAAATTATAATAGGACTAATAATAATTTGGATTCGTATGTACAGAAGCGCTAATCAGGGCCATATATATATGTATGTATATAATCATCGTTACGTGATTTTGTCGCAATTTAATTAAAATAATACCGATGGATGAAGAGCAGCAACGGCGAGGAAACAACAGAACAACAACAATGAATGAACGAGGGAGAGAGAGAGAAGAGAAAGAAAAAAAAAACGTAATTTGTATAGGTTAGTTAGGTATACGTTGATTGGTTTTTCACGGCGCAGTGATTATGTAAGATGGCATGACGAGGCAGACTAGAGCGTGATGTATATACCCCCCCAAACACACAATGTGCTTTCCTTCTCTCTCCTTCTGTTTTCCTCGATCTTCCTTTTCTTTTTATCGTTGTTTTTATTCTTATTATTATTCGGGGGAGGCCCACCACCAGTATTTAGAGTTACTCAATCAAAACGGAACGATTACAGTTTTTTCTTTTTTCTTTATTTTTTTCGGGTGGGCCTGTACCACCCCGTACGAAGCATTTTATATTTAAATATTGCATGATTAGCTAATATTAAATAAACGTAACGTACTCTCTTAGAGGTTCCGTTATAATTTATATAAGTTTTTTTTTATTTATATATATATATTTAGGTCCCCACTGTCTAGTCAACATCACACGCCATATTCCCCCGAAAAAGTATTTGTTTAGGTTCGCCTCTTCCATGCATACATTTCGCTTGTTGTTTTATTTTATTTTTCAGTAAGGGCGGAAAAGGACAATTTCCTGGTATTACCTTAACTCAGCATTTAAAGAAAACTAAAGATTACTTGCTTTTTTTTTGTTTGTTACATTTGTTTGTACTTGAAATTAATTTGCTATTGTTTCGTACGTTAATTTTTAGGAAAATGAATGATAGAGAAGTCAACGTTCTTATCGTAGGCGATTCCAAAGCAATAGTAATAATAATGATATCCTCGACTTAGTTAAGGGAAACGCACCGTTCGGAATGACCGAACTTAACCAATAATTTAAGTCCATAAAAACTGGTATCATTGTTCTGCGGCAATAAATTTTAACTTTCCACATTAAATCCTTTTCAATTCCGAGGCTCTCTCTCTCTTTCTC